AGGTGGGGTGGCCGGGTGAGGCGGGTCTCGGGGGGCTTGGCACTGGAGCAGGGGTGGTTGTGTGGCACTACGTGGATGGCTGAAGTTTTCACGGAAATCGTGCTTGGGGTGCCACGCTGTAAAGCCGTGCTGGTCTGCGGCTCTCCTCCCCTTGAGAGGAGATGGGAGCATCTGCCCAGCCGTGGACGGTCCAACCGTGTGAAACCGTTCGGGGAGAGCAGGGATGGAGAAGGTATCTTTGGACAGAAGGGACATCTTCATCCAGGAGAGACACCTTTGCCCTACTGGTCTTTGGTGGGTCTTGACCATCATCAGGTTGGTCTGTTGCAGGTGGTGGTCTTCTAGGATAGCTCGGAGCAACGGCAAGAGAGCAGGCTGTTGTTTTCACATCAAAACTCCGTTATTCAGAGGCAGTCGGGAATTTACATATATTCAAGAGCATTTTGGGGAAAGAAGAAGGTGCTTTGACTACAGGGTCATCCAGTAGTATGTCATCCAGTACCTGCTACCAGTGTATTGTGGTAGCGGGTAAAGGATCAAGCCCTCTGTCACGGATGTTTTGCTGAAAAATTAAATATTTTTGCGTCCTGTGACTTTAAAGGGTGTAGTAGTTGTAGTTATGTGCTGCCACCTGACAGACACCCTGTCCTACAAAAAGCTTTCACACATAAAAGGTAGGCGGCTCCTTTTGAAGTGTTAAGACCCTAGGAAAATAGTACTAAAATCAACAGGCTCACCTACCCTGAAGTGCTTGGAGTGGGCAATCTGAGGAGGCCTTTTGCATAGCTGGGATGCTTTAGCAGCGCTTTGGAAGAGCTTGGCATGCAGGAGATGGAAGGTTCTGGGCGTCCATGCCAGGCTGCGACTCCTGGTTACAAACACTGACGTGGATGAAGGACCAAAATGAATAGTTGTGAAAGAGGTTTCAGAGTGTGGGAATGGGAAGGAGTACAGGATCTGAATAACAGTAGCATAGGCAGCATAGAAACTCGGGGGAAAAAGGAAGTTGGTGTGTAGATTTATGGCTGAGAATAGGCAGGCCGGCTGAAGAGGGAACAAAATTAAATACTCTTAAAACAGGACAAACGAAGTTTTTAAATAGAGTGAGACTTTTGCAGAGTATGTATTTTTGTGTTTTCCTCGTGATAAAAGTAATTTGTGAGATAATCTTCGTAGGGAAGAGGAAGCTCTGTTGCTTCACCCATGTAAAAATAAATTTGACTAGCATGTAAATTTTTGAAATAATCCCCGCATTGTTGGCCTTGTGAACTGACACTTTTCATCCGCTTCTAGATTACGCAGCAGAAGGAAGACGAGGTTGAGATTAATGGTGGGAGGTGGAAAGGTGTGTGTTCTGAAGTAAAAGGTCTGGTCCCTCCTTACTGTTTTGGTGTTTGGGACCACAGTTTGTTGGTCTGTCAGTCGCGCTGAAAAAATACGTATAAGGGCTGTGCTGTAAATTAAAGCATTTAAATGGTCCAAGTTTAAAAAGCAAAACAGTACATAAGCCCGCTTTATTTTAGGGTTAGCTTAACAGTAGATACTTTCAGTACAGATGTCAAGATGGTTTAGATTTTCTTTCGCAATAATTCTGTACCTGCACTTTCAGGGTCAGAGGAAAAAAAACTTTTTTTTTTTTTTTTTGAGGATATGAACCCACTTCATTTAAATCTTAGCCAGCAAAAGTTGGTTGGCAACGTGTCTTTCATAAACCAGCTAAGAGGTCTTTCCGAACTTTCTCTAAAATACTTAATGTGAAGCTAATTACTTTGAAATAGCAGAGAGATGTTACCCTGAAATCTAGTTGCTTTAGCAGAAGAGCTGAGAGTATATTCGGGGTCTGTGTGGCCCAGCGGTCTTCTGTCAGTTGCTGTGCCTTTATGGCCTCCTTACTCTTATCAAAAACTCAAATTCAGAGAGCAAACAACCCAGAAGGTACAAAAATATTTTTCTCATCTCTCTCAGAGTTCTCACTGTGGTAATTTGTGATGTTGCTGATACTGTTTTTAAAACTCACATATAGCCTGTATTCTTTTTAAGCGTTACCTTACAGAAGAGTGAAAATTGGTTTCTGATTTCTCACTGTTTTGGTACCACTCAGTTAAGCGGATGGTATATTTAAAAATTTTGCATTAAAAGTTTGTTATAAATAATTTCTAAGAAACTGTTGGAGGCCCAAAGCTTGAAGGATACCGTCAGGTCCAAATCATATATTATGTTTTCTTTAGGTTGCAGGCTGAAGAGCCAAACTGAAAGCTAGGTGTGCAAATTGTGTCTTTGTGCCATTCAGCAATTTGTTTTTAATATGCTAATTTTAGTACAAATTGCTACATTGTGTTCCAGAAGCCTACATGCAGTTCTTTGCCATTCACTCCTCAAAGAACTAGTGTACATTAAGGCAGCTAATCAGTTCTACGTATTCAGAGACGTGAAGGTGAGGTAAGGTGTTTTTGTAACACTTCATATTTGCATTCTCTTGATGTACCCCAAACACAATAAGCTGTATTCAAAGATTCATTTTTTTAATAATGAAAAATGCTTTCTCTTGCTTATCTGAGTCTGCACCTAGCCAGTTTTCCTCCCTTGTGGAGGTGGATGACTATCTGTTCTACGTCCTTCTGTAGAGTATTAAACCAATTGAAGTGGAAAAACAGTTGAAAAGAATTATTTTGCCAGCTTAACTATGTTAAGCCCTAAAATCACTCTTATATCCCTCACTGATCAAATCTATTGTATGGTGTAGTAATTCCTTCTTCAGGGTTTCTGAGGAGTTTTGTGTGCTAGAGGGCAAGCAGTAGAGATGCTTTTTTTTTTTTAACTAATCTTTTCCAGCTCCAGTGCTTGTATGCTGAATTGCCCAACCTTTTGTACACCAACTTAAGCAAAATAATAATAATAAAGGAAAAAACCTAGCATCCTCCCACCCAAACAAACAGAACAAGGTCAAATGTAAGTGCTGTTGTTTAACACTAAGTGCTTAAATGTTACAGTTTACTCCTTATTTTAGTAGGGTTGATGTTTCAGGCCAGTTTAGCCCACGTAGTGTTTAGTTTTGGGGGTCTCTTGTGGTGTGAATGTCTATATGACAAGTGCCTTACCCTTCTTGCATTCACTGTTATTCCTGTAAGAAAGGTTTGTCTTGTAGAATATGAGGAGTGGATATAACTAGTCTTCATAGATTTCCTTTGTTGAAAACATGGAGAGTAGTATCAATTTTAAAACAGACTTTAAATTCAAAGGAGCCTTGTGTGGTACCCGAGGGTTTATAATTCTCAGTCAGGAAAATCATGGGGGTGAATTTGTTGTTGTTATCAACTCAGTGCTGTGTTTCACTTTGGATCAAACTTGAGTGATGTTTCCAGGTATGTGAAATATTGCCTTGAGCTATCATTGTCTATGAGTAATATGCATCATCTACAACATGACTGCTTTTGAGATAGTATATCCTTATGTTGGCATTTACAGCAGCAAGCATCTGGAATATAGCTTCGGGCTTCTCAAGGAATTGGTGAAATCATTTCTTTCTTGGCTTCTGGTGCTGTCTTAGTACGTTCTGCTACCTTCATATATGAAAAGATTTTTTTTTTTTTTAATTATCAGAGTTAAATCCATTGCTTTTTTGTTTCATTAGAGATCTGGCAAACAAATATTTGTAACTGTACTTTCCTTATGAGAGCCTTATTTAGAAAAAAAAAAAAAAATCTTGAGAATCTGCCCATGTTTCTAGCCACTTTTGCTGCTCTTCCTTAAATCCTTCCTATTTTTTTGCTCCAGACGAGATAAGAGATTGAGATGACCGTTACCTGTGTTGTTAGATATGAGAGATCTCATTAACGCATAGCCTGCCAGTCAAGCATTCTCTACATTGTGAACAGTGACACAAAAATACTGGTGGCTTTTTTTGAGCTTTGCTCAAAAAAGACAACTGTCAAAGATGCACAGATCTCTGTTTTGCATGGGGATCGTTACTTTGGAGCTTAACAACTTGCAAAATTTACTTAAAGTTAGAATAATGTCATTAATACTGAATTTCGACTGCCATATATGTACTGTCACCTGTTCCTCTTGGGTGTCCTGCTGTATTTTGCCTCTTTTGCCAGCGGCTTTGGAAAGCAGCCAGAGACTATTGGGCTAAATACTGTCCGTGTGAGTTAAAAAAAAAAAATAAAATAAAGCCAACTCTGTCTGGCTTCAAGAGCTCTGTCTGTTCTTTCAATAATAAAGTGGCAGGTGAAGGAAGAATCATCAGGATTAATTGGGTGTGATCAGCCCAACTGCCTGGTTGCGGCTGAATTATTTAAAGACATCACGACACAGATGAGTTCTAAAGTGCGATTTAAGAGAAGACGATGTCACAGCTTCACAGGCTTTAAGGCTGAAAGGGATTTGAGTGTGTAACTTTAATGAGCTAATTGCAGGAAGCCACATCGCAGGTTTCCTCTTTAAATTTATCAGGCTCCTTGAAGGAGCTCCCTCAACTTAGGGGGCAGTACGGATGAAAAGGTAAAGGGGACATTAAACGAATTGATGGTGGCTATAAAGTCAAGTGGAGTATACAGAGCAGTGCTCAGCTGTGGGATGCTTTTTAAGATGAACACTTCTAGCTTGCTTTTTGTGCTGCGGACAAAAAGAAGTTGAAAGAGAGGTTCCTTCCTTCAAAGAATCATATAGCAGAAGTAAACTCATAAGCCAGATGGATGGTTTCTGCTGTCGTGCTTTCTTATTTCTTTAATGATTTTAAGTGATTTTGAGTCAGTGGCAAATACCGTTGCACTAATTTATTTCCCTTCCCAGGTTGTAAATGTATATATTTCACTTAAGCCTGAAGATAATCTTGTGGCACTGTTTTGATGCATTTTGCCACAATTAATGATTTATATTTTTTTTTAAATTCTTCCTTTTTTTTTTTTTCCCCTCTTTGCCACTTTCTAAGCCGTGATGCAACTCTACTTTTCACCTCCTGACAGCTTAATTTTCTGTTTTCCCAAGAGTTTTCACTGAAAGACAGGGTCAAAGGCTTTTGGAAAGTCTACATTTGTCCAATCAACAGTTCTCATTGATCCATCGCATTATGGATAGGCTTAAAACTTGATGGACGCTGTGGTAATGGACCACATGTGTGTTTATCTGCTAATGCTTGTGTAGTTATTAAGTGACAGTAAAATTCTTAAATATGGTTTAACAAAGCGTTTCATTACTCTATAATTCGTGCTTCATATTCAGTACTTGTACAGTTGGCAATTGGACATCTGCCACTCCAAATGGTAGCAGAGCAGTGGCATTTGTACAATTTAATTTTGCTTATGTGCAGACAAAGGCAGACAGGTTTATGAACGGCATGATGCAAATTTGCAGAATATATATTTGTAGCTAGAAATAGGAAGACTGATGTAAAATAAATTATGGTAAAGGAACACTGCTGACTTTTAAATGCTTTTAAACGAGCCGTTAGTCACAAATAAAAATGACTTCTGTCATAATTGAAAGACAAAAATGTCTTTAGTCTGGGGTTTGTTGTGTCTTTGTGTGTGTGTGTGAAACTGCTATTTATGTAATGCATTTTCCATATTTGCTGGAGCCTTTCACAGATCAGTGGGGAAGATGCTTTTTAAACAAAAGAAGGATTTACTAATCGCTGTAAAAATGTTCAAAGGAACTCTGGGAGTTGTCTCCAGTCTCAACAGCTCAGCAGTATATGGTCGTTTTATCTTGCAACACGTGGAAGTGCTAACACACTGCACTGTTTCTCTGACTATCTCAACAGCCTAAAGAGGATCATAGAAAGGTTCATGGATCATGAAAGGTTAAGAAAATGCGAAGAGTTATTTTAATTCAAAATATGTATCAAAAAATGAAATTTAGGAACCCACTTACAAGTGGTTATCAGGGAGAAGCTACCTACCTTTAATTGCTTTGAGTTTTCTAGGTGTGGGGCTCTTTACACCTGCCTCATTAATTACAGCCATTTTTCAGTCTGTTAGCAGAGAAGCTGAGCTGCTGCATGAATTAAAGGTGCTTGGTTATTCTGTGGTTGTGGAAGTACTACAAAGAAGGAAGGAAGGTGTCAGGAAGAGAAAAGTTGCTAGAGAATGTTACAACTCAAAAAAACCCACAGCAGCACTGCTTTAGTGTCGATCTTTTACCATTACTTGATCTGAATATCCCCATATAGGCAAGCTCTGGGTAGAGTCCCAGTGATTTTGCTGGGCACCGTTTAGATTTAAGGTTTCAGGCACAGACCCCTTTGTGCACTTGAAAATCCAGCTGTAAAATACTTGGGGTTCTTGTCTTAGCTCAAAAACCTAAAGTTTCTGACCAGGATATTTTTTTCTGTCAGTTTTAAAA